CGGCGCAGGACCGGTCTTTGTGGAAATCCTTGGGGAAGGCCTTTGTCCAGCAGTGGACGTCTTTCGGCTGAAACGAACGAACGAACGAACCTTATCTACTCGAAAATGATGTGCTAGAGTGGCATTCAATTGGCAATCTTATTGTAATTTTGTTTTCGTCGCAAGATTTTCTGAATATAAAACATTTTGTAAATTCTTGTATGGTTGACAGACTTTGTTCTCAATCGTTTAGATATTCTAATTGTTATACAATAACCCAGCTGTTTTTTCTACAACTTTTTAAATTCAATAGTAATTTACAGACATCTTGATAACATTTAATTACTTCGTTTATTAGCAAATTTTTAGCTAACAAGCCCTTTGTTTTGTAACAAACCTAAACTATACTCAACATCAAATAAATCGCACCTTCCGCGACGCGAACTTTAAAGATTTTCTTCTGACACAATCATGGTGCCCCAACAATATTAGTGTTATTTGAAAGCCCAATAAATAAACTTAAAGAAAAACACAATAATTCCATCCCAGAGGCCTCACTTGGGGCTCACCTCTGGGATCAATTAGACCAATTTTTGTGGTTATAAAATCAAATAATGATCTTACGTGTCCTTTTTAACAGATGGATAGCGATTAATCCCAATCTAACAGTTTTATAGCCATAAAAGTTGGCTCAAGCGTAACTACCTATTTTTTGAAGAAGTGACTCTGGATCCTTCTAAAAACACATTTTTGGGGTAAAAACCTTTCCTTTAATGAAATGAAGTTTAGAACTAGGCTTTCAAATGGAACCAATGTTGGTGGAAAGTGGGGATGCATACGTTTGAGAAGTGCTTGTTGCGGGAGGTGCGATTTATTTGATGCCGAGTGTATTTCAAATAAATGCGATAAAGCGCCATCTCTTAGCTAAAGTCAGTACTATTCCTTACGCCAAACTGCCGGGTCATGCTTACAAACGCATGTCTTTGCGTGCCACAAGAAAGAAAAATATTTCATGGTCAAGTGAATAGATGGCGCTCCATTCATAAAATAATGTAGAGTCAAAAAGTCTAATATTCATAAAATAAAACAGGCTCATTACTTGTCAAGTCAAGTAGATAGGATTGTTTTGTTTTAAAAAATCAATAATGTATTGGTACAATATTTTCGGACCAATTCTGCTTAATAATGGATACCAATTAATAATAAATACCTATTAAACATAGGTACCTTAAAATTAATACTTATTTAGTAAGTACCTATTTTATTAAAATATAGAAAACACCCAGACCAACACAAACATTATAATTTTTAAAAGAATACGTTGTGTGTGGGTGTAGAACCCACCACCGCTGGTAGCAGTCGTTTATAGTTCTTGCAACTCACGAAGACGAGTGAGCGTTACTTGTGTGTGTACGTGTACATGCACTTAACGATAGTGTAATTTTGAAAAAAATTTGAAAAACTTTTGAAAAACAAACAGTAGCGAGCCACCACACACGTAGGTAAAGCTCACTCGCCTTCGTGAATTGCAACAACTATGTATATGTTACGGTCAAAGTGATAAATGTGAAAATTATGAATAATCGCCGGTTATTATGAATAATTACCGCATGATTTGGTAAATGTGATTAATATGAGGTCATTTATGTGTGTATAAAACTAAATAGGCGGCTTAGGGGTGGCCCAAGGGCCACCCCCGCCGCACCTTAACCTATTTTTCACTTTAAAATATTGTATTAGGAAATGTATAAAACTAAGCGGCACAAGCGCGGTCGCGTGATCGGGTGTCCCTCGGTACGCCTAAAATTTCATTTAGCCAAACCACATTGGCCGATAAGTACTTTTAACTCACAATTATTATTGTTTAGCCTGACAGTTGTTTTCGCACTATTATACCTTTCTTTCGGCATCACGCATATTACGCCGAAGTATTGGAAATCCCTAATTTTAACATCTCTTTTGTTAAACTATTATTGACATGAAGGTTTTAGTACTCCTGTAGCTGGATAACAAAGTCTCGGTTAGGTTAGGTTAGACTTGCGACCTTACACATACACAGCTGCCGCGGCGCGGTAGCGCCATTTAAGTTTCGGAGAACAAAAAGTGGCGTAATAAAAATAATTTTATGTAAAAAAAAAATCTTAATTACATTTCCGATTGCTGTTTAGGAAATGTGTAATTTTCCTAGGAAATGTGTCTAATATAATTTACATTTTTCCGGGTGATTTTAGGACTTATACACAATTCCTAGGAATTGTATACAATGACGGATTTCATACTTTTCCTGTAACATATACACAAACCATCGAGTCAGGTATTACTTGATAGTAGTTTTACACTATCGGTTACAGCGCAGAAAAAGAAGACTTTCTCTAGCTAGAAGATAAAAAAAAATGCGATCAAACACAAGGTTCAACCATTCACTTCAGTTCAAAAACCTCAACAGTTAAACGTCAGTTAAAAACTAACCGCAGTCCGCGGTTGCTTTATCTTGACACACAAATGTATTGCGATCACTTAACCCTAAGATCACACCATGAATATAAATGAATATCAAAATGAATATGATCACTAAACATTCGTCTCTCAGTCGTCCGGTACCCTGCGAGTTCGATGTTTAGGTATGTTCCCGTTATTTGATATCATAATCTATTTTCCCTATCATCTAACTATTCAAAACAAACAATTCGCATGTACTCTATTAATTGTAATTAACATTGCAACAAATATAAAAGGAATGAGAGTAAAATTTAAAAAAAAAAATGCAATAAAAAAATTGAAAATCACGACACAATGTCTATGATTGAATGATAGATAGATAAATCCCAAGTCATAACCTCGAGCCATTTGCGTAGATTTAAAGAATCTGTCAGAATGACAAATTAATTATTATGTGTCATGCATGTCGTATTCCTAAACAATAGTTAACTTTTTTTATAAAATACTACTTACGTTTACAGTTATTTGTTAGGAAATGAAAAGTCATTTCTTGAATTCGAATATAATATTCATAATAGAATGTACTTAGTTACTTTTTTGTTATTTTCTGATATAAGGTAATGTCAAGATTTACACAAAGATTTCAGAAAAAATAATAGTAATTAGGAACCAAATAATATCAGGCCATAGTAAGTAAAATTGTTATGAAATGAAATGAAATAGTTTATTCAGAACATAGGTCCTTTCCAGGGCACGTCCCAAATAGATATAGCTTGCCCTACCACCACTTCGGGGCAACATAATATGGGCTGGTGTTGAGAATTTATCTTCAGGCATTTTTTATCCTCGAATCTTTTAGACCTCTTTTTTAGAATGGCAGTATCCCAGGCATTTGGCCGGCTCATTGTCCTCATAGAACAAGTCCGTTAGATTTAACATTACCACTGACCTTATGTACACAAATACCTAGTCCTAGAGACTGAGAACTAATAAGCTATTTTTACGCGCTACGTACTCGCCATTTCTACAGTTTTATCACTTAGGTTGGGTTGCATCATCTTACTTTAACTTTGACAAACGTCAAAAATCTGTCAAACTGCCTACAAAAAACACCGGTTATAGTTATAGTTTCGGTTAAAGTCCGGTGGTGAAACTAGCCTAAAGGATCTCATTTTACTTTATGATTGAGTTTTTTCAGTTCCAAGTAGAGTTCAGTCATCTACAAGTTATCTAACGAATAAAGTTTGCTAAAAACCAACTCATTGTTTACCATAAAAATAATTTATAAAATGCTGTCAAAGCCCACTTAAAGTATTATTTTTATTTTTGACAAGGTATGTGGAGGACAAGAATCTTACCTCATGTTAAGTGTAGTGCAATCAGTATTGTTCAGTATCGCATCAGTAGGTATTGTTGATAGAAGTTGTTAATTGCTGCAAAACCATTGACAATGTTATCAAAAGCAACATGTCACAATTGTGGGTATAAGATAAAAAACAGTAATTGTACCCGCGCTCCTAGCCTACAGATTTTGCAAGATGTAGTCAAGGTCGGATCGCTTCGGGCTACTTGAAACGCTTGAACTTTTTCAAATTCTATTCTGTTGCTAAAATAACAATCTGATTTAATAGATTACATTGTGACGAGCATTCCACTTAACCGCTAGTTAAACTTCAAATAGGTATTTCCATGCCTGAACTTGAATACGCGATAGAAGTCGGGGAAAAAATTCGGTTACTAAAATAATTAGCATTGCTGTCTAAGGCTGGGTTGCACCATCTTACTTTAACTTTGACAAACGTCAAAAATCGGTCAAACTCCATACAAAAAGCACCGGTTTTCGTTAAAGTTTCGCTCAAAGTTTGGTGCAAAAATATTTAGTTTACAATAATAGCCATTTTAGTAAGATACCACATAAAAGCCTTCTTATAAGGATCGAAGTATGCGTAAAGTGTGGGTGTGTTCCCGAATCTTCTCACAAGAAAACAAACTTAATTCAACAGAAATTGGCAAATATCATAATAAAAATTGACTCAAGCAGTTGTCTTATTATGACTTCACTTTGAACTGAAAACGGGACTATTCCCGCCTCTCGTTCCCATCGCTGCAACTCCTGTGTAGGCAGGATCTGCAGCTTCACCGCCAATAAAAACCCAACCAGAGAAGGTCAAGTTTGTCTCGGGGGAAAGTTAAAATGTCATTTCACTGAATGTACTTTGAACTGAAAGTAAAAAGTCATAAAAGTGAGGTTTTTTTTGCAACAAAGCTTTTAAAAAGCTCAATAATTAGTTGTTCATAGGTTATCCGACTTACGTCCGTATTCACAAGCGATGCTTATTTTATTTTATTATTCTTTATTCAGAAAATCACAGCTCTTAAGTGCAGTTGTGAAGTTGAATAGAGCTCTGTGATTGGTTCGTGTCATCCTATGCGTCCACGCGCACTGTGAGACCTCATAGTAATGTTTGTGAATACGGGCTGCAAAAATCGCCAGTCTATATCGGCGCGAACTATAGCCCACCTGTCATGGGCGTCACGTCCCAGCCATAGGACTATGCGCGCGCAATGTCTTTATTATCACAGACGCACGCGATCCGATTGCATTTTGTTTCGATCAAACGACGCGCGCGCAGCCCTCCGTCGTGCTGAGAAAAAAAAAACTTTTTGATTTTTTTTTCAGCTTCCAATTTTGAAAAGTGAAGTGGTGTGAATACTTCTTAGATTGGACTTATTTTAAGAGTGATGAGCAGTATGAACGGTAAGTAAATAAATAGATATTTAATATAGGTACTTATTCATAGTTGAATCATCTGGAAAAATCTAAGATTAAGTCGGAAAATTGCGGAGCAAATAGGTATTTAAGGATTAGTAATTGAGACCGACTCATTGCGTCATAAAAACAATTACATATTTACTTACTTGTAAACAATAAAAAATATTGTCTTACAACAGCTCTAAATGTAAACCCCATTTACCTACGTGAATATGGTTATAGCTTAAATTCAAACATAATAAGAAGCGGGTAAATAGCGGTTAAATTCTATCAAGCTATATATGAATAAGAATCTTAAAAATTTCAAACACAAAAAGAACATTAAACAAGATTTATTTTACATAACTTTTGCCTTAAAATAAGTTAAGTTAAAAGTGTAATCGCAATAAAACTGTATCAATACTTATGTCAGCAAATATGCTATTAGGCAATAAACTGAAAGAATCAAATTTCAGCACATGAAATGAAATCTGATGATCTGATATTTTATTACTGTGCAATACGTGTACTTTTACCGCTTTAATTTTCAATTTCGACAAGTCTTCAAAATAAAAACATTATTTGTTATGTTTTATTATCTAGAACAACTTCAGTTAAAAAACAAAGATTTGGAACAAATATTATGGTATAATTTCGCACTAAAGTCAATGAAGTCTTTACTAAAAAATGCATTACAAATTAAGCAGATAAGCCACTCCCATTTAATACAAAACAAAGCTTTATTAGGTTTTTATCAAACAACAAATCCTGTTTTTCTCACACGGTTTGTCTAAAGGAAAATGTCTAAAAATATCGATACAACTACATTGTATTTATTCACCACATTAATGCTTATCGCGAATTAAAAATTCGCTGAATTATCTTATTCTTCTTTTTTTCGTGTCGATAATAAACCTACACAGTGTCAACCCAAAACTCCGCCACAAGAGTGGCGTTGTCAGTAGCACTCTTCAAATCCTCCTGATTGCAGTTGCTTGGGCACTCAGGGCACGACATCAGGTGCTTCATCGATCTTTATCTTATTGTTTCTAAGAAATCCATGAGAAATAAACCACCCGTGTTGTAAATCAACAGTAGCTTTTTTCTGCGGCTTCGTCCGTGACTAGTTCGGTCTGTCATAGTTAAATAGGCTTTAGCGCGAGACCTATCTCCTGTCAAAATACTTTTCCTTTCTAAAAAGCTATCCTTTGTTATTCCCTCAGTCTCAAATATCTCTATCTAAATTAAATCTACATTAAAATATATTCAGTGCTTTAAGTGCGAAAAGGTAGACGAAGTGGTTCCTTTCCATAATGTTAGGATTTGATTGGCATTAATAAAAAATGCCTGCTTCTGCATAAAAGGCACACACACCTTTTGCGGAATTCCTTTAATATTACGAAAGTAGATGACCTTGGCTTTTACGTAAACTTACACCGAGTTACTCTTACGTACGGTCTTAATTGCAATGACCTGAGGATTCAGTCACTTATGTTGATATAAACAAAATAAATTAAAAAGTGAATCATTTTGTCTTGTAATAGTTTTGTTATTATTTCGTACACTTATTTATTTACCAGCATAACATTTTCAAAGCAAAAATGAGGAAATAAAATGAATTAAATTATTTCACTAAAGTGAAGGAAGAAGGATAGTGTCTCTTGGAGTATAATAACCCCGTAAGAACCACAAAAACTTATGGGTGTGAATTTTACTTGAATTTTAGTACTATTTAGATCATTCAGAGTACAAAGCACTTTTGTCCTTCCTAAAACTGGAATTGGAAATGTCATTGTTTGGCTAAATTATAGTGTTTTTGAGTAACACGTACACAAAAATATTAATATTGTATCTAATGTTGGCTTTTGCATGAAGTTAGATTTTGATAAAAAAAGGAAAACTTAGTTTCTGTATAAACTAATCATCCGTGTGTTGTTATTGGATAAATCTCTACCTTAACTTGGACAATTTTCAGCTACCTACATACTTGTAAATTCCTTGAATCGTTTCAGAAGATAGATGAAGATTTTAAAAACGATGTTATGCATCTAAAATATTTAAATAGGTATAGGCTACCATTATGGCGTCATCCAAAAAACCAGTTACATAAATATCACTAGTCTAGGCAAAATTTCGACTATCCCATACATGTAGCTCGCCTATAAATGGCACTATCTGCTCTACGGCCACTAACATTAATAATTTACTGCCGGACGATGTCTTTTTTTCAATCCAAAAACATTGTTTTTCTTGGTGGCTGTGTAAGTTTACCTTGTCCATGAACTCTATCGTTACTTTATAGCAGACTATTATAATATTGATTATTAGTATTATTACATTGAAACTTTTTTTCAAATATCTGCTAATAATTAAAATCAGTTGATCAAATAGAAATTATTAAATATTTAATAAACTACATATTTAATAAAATACGGTTTTTGTATATCATGAATAGAGTCACAACTAAAATAGGAAATACAATGTGAATACGTCATTTTGCAAAAAAATATATCGTTTTTGGAGCTATGTGCGTAAACGCACTGGGCGATCACTGCCGAGGTCAAAGTCTATGTTCACCTTTGTAACCAATTTATTATAAATAATAAAGATATCACTAGCGGCCGCCCGCGACTTCGTACGTGTGGACCTCGTTTTACCCCCTTAGTTCGTAAAATCTGTTGTTAGATATCATGTTGATAGATTAGATGGCGTTTCACAGCTTCCCCCGCATGAATATTTACGAACGTCATAAACAGTAGTTTGTCCAGCGCAGTAGATTTTACCAATGACGATAGATGGCGCTTTTTAGACACGTCTTATTTATTTATTGAAATTTATTTGTCACATATCGTCATAAATTATAGCCTATATGTTAATCTGGGCCATAAACAATAACACTGTAAAGTTTCAACAAAATCCGTTCAGTGGTTTTTGCGTGAACGAGTAACAAACATCCATCCAGACATCCAGAATTATTCCAGACATCATGACATCCAGACATCCAAACTTTCGCTTTTATAATAATTATTATTAGTAGGAATAGGTGACAATCATAATAGTCCGTTCGATGATATACTTAGTGTTTCTCTTGATCATAATCATTCTGACTGAGGGTTATATGGGAATTTCATAAAGATGATAGTTTAATGTAGTGTAGTACGTACATTCTCACTGATATTACTAAAATAAAGTTTTTTTTTTAAACCTGACTGTAAACAAGATCCTTGACCAAGACCAGGTGGTTCTTTGTACAAATAAGTTGTAAATAAATAAATAAATTCATTTTTGAAATCACGAATACATTACAAACTAGTTTTTCAGTACCTATCTAAAACCCTGCATTAGCTTAGCAAACCTAATTAATTCATCTAGCTACGCACTCTCTCACTGATATTACCTATTATCTTAGGTTGAGTGGGTCGAGGTAAGCCGAAAGGTTAAAATATCATTTCGTTTAGTCCTTTAGAAGCAAATCCACAAAAAAGCAAAGGCGACTGTAACGAGAAATTTTATTCTAACATGCTCCGACCCTTACTTTTTGGTGGTTTAGTTTAGGACTGCTCCTTGAACTGGTTGGTGAAACCGGGTGTGCAAATGAGTGTATTGGATTAGTTATTTTATTCCAATCAGTCAATACCACTGGTATAATTATGGAGTCTCTCGATTCGTAAGGTTTTATCACCTCGGGACTATTCTCACCTCTCGTTCCCACGACTGCAACTCCTGTGTAGCCAGGATCTACAGCTTGACCGCCATAAAAACCCAACTAATGAAGGTCAGGTTTTATTAACAAGTAAGACAGCAAAATATTTATTACCAAAAGTGTTTTTAATATTTGATTAGCATCAAATGATTGAAATGGATGAACTTTTCCTATGTTCTTCTGATTAATTTCGTTGCGGGTCCAATGACAGTTTAACTTTCCTTCGGAACAAACTTGAGCTTCATTGGTTGGGTTTTTATTGGCAGTCAAGCTGTAGATCCTGGCTACACAGAAGCTGCAGTGGTGGGAATGAGAGGTGGGATTAGTCCCGAAGTAAATATCAAATGATCCAATACCAGGAGTATGCTTACAAAAATATATGATTATTACAATTTACAATAAAAGCAAAGGAAACAAACTTGCTAAAAATACATTTTAGTCTTAACTTATGACTCTTTCAAAAGCCTGACATATAAACTATTCGTGTATTTTTAACTCCGTAATAATAATGTTTGAGTTCATACAACAACGCCGTAAATTGGACTTAATACGAGAAGTTTAACTTGATATTTTGTTGGAAATTTCCCATGATTGTGTTACGTTGACGATTTCATGTTTGTTTTGCTTTTTACAAGCCTATATTTAGCTTAACTTGTCCTGGTAATTAGGTACTAGTCAAAAGTTATTTACCTAAATAATCGTATACTTAGTTTGAGTTGCACCATCTTACTTTAACTTTGAGAAACGTCAAAAATCTGTCAAACTCCATACAAAAAAACGCCAGCTACCGTTATAGTTACGGTCAAAGTTTGGTGGTGCAACTCATCCTTCGTATTTGGCCTAAACTTAAACGCTTATCTACTCAAAATTTTAGGTATAGAATGTATCTCAAAGTCAAAGAACTGAAAAACCGGTAAATCCAAATTCAGATTCCGATATGAGTCATTCTAATCATCAAACCATGGAATTTTCAACCGATAATCATTCAACTCAACCGTAATCGCGGGTCAATATGGACCCGTCGCGAAAAAAAAACCGTTTATTTTCAATGCGCGTGTATACTGTACGAGTATGTAGTACTCGTATAGTGTTTATTTTTGCGAATTATGCTAATCACTTTCTGAGTGCTGGATATTTGGAATTTGCAACTTTATAGACGTAGAAATACGAGCTATAGTTGACCCACTCATTTACTTATACAACAAAACTACAAACTACAAACAGATAAGTGCTATTAATCATAAAATTGCTTAAAAACAACTCTCTTTAACCAATAAAGTCGAAGAAAATTAAACTTTTGTCT